CTGACGCTCAACGCCATTTTACTTTAATTAGAATCTCTTCTATACGAAATCCGTTTTTGATAATTATGATCGAAACTGAACAAAATTTCTGTAGCCATACTTCGTTTTTAATGAAATGTATTTCGTTATTCGAGACCCGGCTGAAAGCTAGCCTAGAACAATCAAATGATATCGCTTTAAAACAAAGAATTCTACAAGATATAACATTTCCTTCACAACCTGCAAGTACGATTCCTCTCGGCGGCCCCCTGACCTGCAGGAATGGATCTTCGGGCATGACCTGGAGGACGACGCCCTGGCCATCCTGGCGTCTGCCAAGACCCGTATCTTCAAGCACTTCCTGGGCCTGGAGATACGGGGCGTCCAAGAAGACCCTCTCATCGTCTGGAGGAGGACTCTGGCAAGATGTTGGAGCCTTCCTCAATCATAATTTCATTGTATTATTCTCATTATTTTTCATTCATAATTGACTAGTAGTCAATAAAGTATGTTTAACCGTCTCTCTCTCTCTCTAAGGGATATAATACTTTTATTTATTTATTTTCTTTTCATAAATTTTTGTGTAAAACGTTTCTAGATAGTTTGTCTCATCGTAGTTGTTAATTATTTCAAAATAAAACTATTGAATATAAAATTTCAAATGGTGGCTGCGTGTTATTTGCTTTATTTCGCATACACCTAATAAACATATTGTGGTATGTTATGTCTCTGATACATAGATGTAAGCCCTCATGGAACTCACTGTACATTAGTGAGACAGGTTGCCATGTTGTGACTTATTGTTGGTGTTTTTGGGGGTAAAAAAGAGAAAATGTTACTTAAATATATTTTTAATGTTATCTTTATGCATAGAAACTACAAAAGTAAAATTTAAGAATTAAGAAAAAATACAAAAAAAAAAAGAAATCAAGAAGGCACTAACTCAGTTGCCCAATTGTTAATTATCATATGCTAGCTAATGTTATCATCATCAATTTATATTTATTCATATATCTATATAATTTATTTACATAGAGAAAAATTCTTTGAATTAATATACCTAACACTTATGAGCTGATTCTGCCCTTACAACCGCGTACAATTTTGCCATCAAACTAGCCTCTTTTAAATGAGATCATGGCCCTAAAGAGAGCCCCATCTGCTCTTGGATTGAATTAATATTTTTGTTATCTTAATTGAAGTGTTATTTTTGACTAAGGAACGCCATTTACCCTGGCTTTTGGATTTAGGCGACTAAAATCCATCTTGCTATAGTATTATTGTATTCTGGATCACATGTGGTAATTTATATATATATATATATATAGGGTGAATGGGGGTGTCATTTAATTGTTACCTCACATTTTCCCCACATCCACAACTCGGGGAAGTAAGTGCCTTAGTACCCATCGCCCTAGATACAAATAGCGATATTATATTAATGCTAATATTTTATATCTCGAGAAAGACTATGGCAACCTATCTCTCTCACATATATATATTACTAATATAATCTAATAAATTTCGATAAAATGCTTTAATACAAACTTATCTTAGAATCCGCAATTTCGCGCACACAATTCCTTCATCGGATAAAGATCTGAATGTTAAAAAGGAAAGACATAATATGAGATTTATCAGCCTTCCCATTAGCATATTAAAAGCTGGTCAATACATTATAGCAAATAAACGCAAGAAATTGTTGCGTCGGTATCCCCGACGCCGCTCGTGTACTTTGTCTGATCAGGATGATACAAAGACGACATGAAAGTTCGTAAAGGTATGCAGCTAGAGCTTTATTAGAGTGGTATGAACTGGGAGGAATACAATAAGTGAGACTTGTAGTATCCAACCTCTCCGTCAGAATAATTCTGGCCACCGTGGATGTCACTCTTGCGAAGCGTCCCGCTCCACGTCCGGCCTGGAAGACGCCGACTTATAGACTGCTCCGATGTCACTGTAGACCGACACACTCGTTCCGCTACGTACAGTCGCCAACACGGCAAGTTTCAAGTTACCACCGTGGTCAGGCCAACAGCAGGTATCCACTGGGGTTTCGCTCCCGGGACACACCGGTGCCTTCTTTAGCGAGTGCCTCCTCGCTGTGAACTGCTGTGACCTTGTTCTCATTCTTCAATGTGGATCCTCCAGTCTCTTTTTTTCTTCCGCCGCTTCTCCATCCCAAGGTGTCACCCCGACTTGGCCCCCGACTAGTTTCTCTTTGACTCTTGAAGTAAAATGGCCATATGCCACAATAGGTACTAAGTTAAGACGAGCCAGCTACATGCGCTTTAGCATGGAAACTCGTCGCTGACCTCTCTCGTTATTTTGTTTAAGTAAATTTATAATCAATGAGCCCCCCTAGATATAACTCATAAGAGTACAATTTAGTGACCACACACCTAATACTTCCCAATACCTCACTTACATATTTGATAAACATTGACAAAGGGTTCCTATATTTAGAGAATACCAAAGAAGTAACACGAGATTGAAATAAGATCTGAATATTACTCCTCTTTTAGCAGACAAATTGTGCCTTTCTTTTTGTCAAGATTTTATATAATAAATTGCTGGATTGCTCAGAACTACAAATAAAAAGTCCAGACGAATATTTTAGTAGGGGAACACTTCCTCTTCATCTCTATCACATCATGTTTGTTGTTTTGTCGAAAATGAGTAATTTCGGTTGAATAGGTTAAAATCTCACATAATTGTATGCCAAAATCGATTATATTATATGTGAAGCAAAAAGAGATATTCAAAATCTGAGACACCTATTGGAAGGCAGCATTTAACCGAATTGCATGAATTATTTCAATAAATGTTTTTGTTGTTTTTGTATCTATTATAAAATTCGAGATGGGGTCCTTTTGTACATTAATAAAATTGTGAATAAAAACCAAAATAATAAAAAAGGCATACAGAATATAAATTCAACTTGTTAATCAGTGAATAAATGATAAAAATCCATAAACACAAGAGAAAAAAAGGATATTTAACTTTCTTCATAAAACTTCAATTTTGTCCTAAGCTCTCTCTAGCACTTATTTAGACACACTTGCGATCGGCAAAATCTACGCGATAGACTTAAATTGTACATATGGATCGATACATTGGAGTCTTCCAAACAGGGGACAAACTAATAATCACTGTTTATACTACTAATGTGGAGGGGGAAATTTGTTGGATATATATTTTAAGTCTGAATAATTAATTGTTCCCACTGAGTATAATGTGTAAGATCACAAGAAAACAGGCGCTAACCGTAAGAAGAAGAGAAGTTTTTCTTTGTTTACTATGTTATAAGAGAGTTTCTCATTAATTTTGTTCTCTCTCTCTCGTAAATCAATAATGTTTGATTAATCTTCCTAGATTCAGTATCTCTAAGAAAAGTCAACAAAATTATAAGGGGGGGATCCTCTAAAAAAAGAAAGGATACCTTTCACCGCCAAAGCAGACTCAAAGCTACGAGCCGTTCGTCAAGTAGCAGACTAATGCCGCATTGAAAGTCTTTGGAAAATTCTCAATGTTCATCTGGAAGCTATGACCATCGTCAGTACTGGATATGTTTTGATTTCACGAGATGTATACCATTCTAATGATTGTGCTTTAGTTTCTGGGTCATAAAGGTATTCCCAGGTTCCATCTCCAGTCACTATATTTGAAAAAGTGTCCTTTTGGGTATCATAGAGATCCTATAGCTCTTGGCATAGTTGAACCCTTTGACCACGCTGATCATGGGTTAGTTTCATTGGAACCCATTTGGAACAGATTTTTCTATAGCATAGATGTTCAATCACTGTTTCTAATGCATTAGATCCAACATATTACACAACTCTCTGATAGTTATTCTTCTATCATGACGGATGAGGTCACCAACCTTGTCTTCGTTTTCAGGGTTGGTTGCTGTTGATGGCCTTCAAAATATCTTCATTGATATTCTCACATTGCTCACATCAATTGTAGATTCTTTGTATACATTTTTTCAGCCTCTAATGAATCTCTGAAGCCGAACATCCCTTCATTTCGAAAAATTTAATAGCGACTCTTTGTTTCTGTCTTGATTCCATACCATAAGTATTTCCATTATATATTCCATACCATTACATAAGTAAAACTATGGTATCTGAAAACAAAATAGATAATTATCAGATAAAGCTTTACTTAACAACATATTAAAATTTAAATAAAATAGGCGAATGACCCGGCTTCGCCCGAGAAATCCCTTGGGTGCAATTTCCTTCATACTAAAAGTATATCAATAATAAATATTAGAAGTGCCATAGAATAGCAATACAGAAGTAACACATAAACTACAGGAAAAAAAGTGTGTGTGATGGCAAAAATTGTATTATATTAGTGTTTAGGTATTTGATTTAATTAATATAGTTGATATAATAATATATATTTATATTATCTCTATCTCTATATTATATAAAAGTCAATGTCTGTCTGTCTGTTTCGCGATAAACTCAAAAACTACTGAACCAATTGGTATCAAATTTTTGCATGTCGCTTTTTATAAACCTGAGGAAAATTTTCGGCTACATTTTGATTAGTAATTTTGGCTATTTCTTTTTTTCATTTGAAGAACTTTTTTTTTACGCGGAGTAATCCGGAATGGAATGAATACCCAAATATGGTCATTTTTTATAAGCATCGGTGGTTCAGTGGTAGAATGCTCGCCTGCCACGCGGGCGGCCCGGGTTCGATTCCCGGCCGATGCATTTTTTTTTACAATTTTTAAAACTCATTTATATAATATATATTATTATATCAACTATATTAATTAAATCAAATACCTAAACACTAATATAATACAATTTTTGCCATCACACACACTTTTTTCCTGTAGTTTATGTGTTACTTCTGTATTGCTATTCTATGGCACTTCTAATATTTATTATTAATGTACTTTCAGTATGAAGGAAATTGCAATCGGGGGAATTCTCGGGCGAAGCCGGTCATACGTCTAGTATATAATATAAAATGAGTTTTAAAAAGTGTAAAAAAAAAAATGCATCGGACGGGAATCGAACCGGGAATCGGCCGGCCCGGGTGGCAGGCGAGCATTCTACCACTGAACCACCGATGCTTTTGAAAAATGGCCATATTTAGGTATTCAATCCATTCCGGATTAGTCCGCGTAAAAAAAAGTTCTTCAAATGAAAAAAAGAAATAGCCAAAAATACTAATCAAAATGCAGCCGAAAATTTTCCTCAGGTTTATAAAAAGCGACATGCAAAATTTGGTACCAATTGGTTCAGTAGTTTTTGAGTTTATCGCGAAACAGACAGACAGACATTGACTTTTATATATATAGAGATAGGTCAAATATTATTCGAATTATGGGCAAACAGGCATTACTTTTGGAACGCCTCTATTCTATATTTATTCGTGATAAAATTTATGATTTAAGATATCTAATACCTATCGTATATTTATTAAGATAAAAATTATTGGGCGTCCTTTTAATATTTTTTCTATGTCTATAGACCTTTCCAGAAGCTTTATATACATAAATTTTTTAAATATTGTTACGGTAACGCCAGAAAAAAATATTCGGCATGGGGGCAAGTTTAGTAGATCGGTAAAGAACATGGGATTGACAAGAAAGGGATAAATTAGAAGGTGCTACTAGTCGGGTTGACACCGCGGTAGGATGGAGCGGGGGAATAGCTAAACGGCTGGGATACCGACAGCGAGGGGGAAGAGTAACCGCGGGGTTCAAGGAGGAGAACGACAGTGTGATGACTGCAGTTCGACAGTAAGGAGTCCTGAAGAAGGCGCCGGAGTGTCCCGGAGCGGACATCATAGCAGCGGATAGCAGCTGTTGGCCTGACTGCGGAAGTACCCTGAAGCTTGCAAGGCCGTGTTGGAGACTGGACTGTACGGAGCGGAATGCTCTGTGGCCACCGGAATGACTACAGAGGCAGCGGAGCAGCCTACAAGTCGGTGTCGTCCAGGCCGGACGTGGACTGTGTACGGAGCGTGACGCTTCGCAAGAGTGACATCCACGGTGCCCAAACGTTTTTTTGACGGTGGAAGTTGGAGGCAAGTTCCACTTATTGTATTCCTCCCAGTTCAAACCACTCTAATAAAGCTGTAGCTGCATCTCTTTACGAACTCACGTGTCGTCTTTGTATCATCCTGATCAAACAAAGTAAGTACACGAACGGCGTCGGGGGTACCGACTCCACAATAATTTATCAATAAATGCTTCAAATTTCTTTCTATATATGTCACAAGAATGGATTGTGGAAAGAGAAAAACCTTAATTTTTTTATTATTATCCCTAGTACACGTGAATACAGGCCATGATAATCATGGTGGGTAAAAGTTGGCGACTGCTTTTACTGTACGTAAGTGTCTACACACGTGAAAATCAGTTCGACTTTTGCACTTACAAATGTGCCAGAGCCTCGTTTGGTTACTTGAAATCGCTGGTGGGGTTGGTCTTTTGCAAGAATCGGGGGCCATTGGAGCATTTTTTAATTATTTTTTTAACCTTAAAAATGAATCGGAAAAATTGCTGTGAGGGTTCGCCACTATGAACTAGACCCTCCCAATGTATTTTTGTCATCGCAGTAGGAGCTGTAAAAATTTGAATGTTAAAAAGTTGGGAACAAACATTTTTCCTATTGTAATGCTACTACGAGTATAAGACGTATGCGAATCATTTCTTGAATTCTTCTCTGTTATGTGCAAATAAGACTGTGTAGTTGGTAAGTTCAGCCAGTCCCTGTTGTTGTCTATCCATGTAGTTTTCTGTCTCTGTCAATTATTCTCTTACTTTCTATTTTCCCAATATGGCAATAGCTCGTGAATTCTTGTCGTTTCTCTTCACTTGACCCAAATATTGATGTTTTCACATCAATGTTCATTGCAATCCTATTCATTGTAAGACCTCATAAATTTTTGTTTTATTAATTGTTTTGAAATTTGTTCAACTTGGATCCTATACGAAGTATTTAAAATGAATAGTATGTTTCTGAAATGTTAACTACATACTTCTTAACCAATGACTGTATTAGAGGGGCTCTGGAAGTGCCGTGGATAAAGGTCTGCGGTGTTCCAAAGTCGTTCGCCAAACTTTTCATTAGCATCGTCTGCCAACTCAACGTGTAATTATAGAACGTAATCTGCTCATGTAATTTGTGCTTCATCCTCTTATTGGCCGAGTTTCAACTCTAACTAATGTCTCAAACCACTCTCATATTTGCTTCTAAAATATACATGCTATTTGTGGTGGATATACATATATAATATGCAATAATTTTTCATTGCCTGTACTATATGATATCAGTTTGTGGTATTTTATTCCGTAACATGCCTATGCCAAACGTAAAACTCCCTAAAACTCTAAAATCACTTGTCGGGATGCAAGGGCATCATTTCCCAAGGAAAACACCAAATGAGAATAAATAAAAACAGAGTTAACTATTGTAGGGAGTTTAAATGGATAAAACCATAATAACATCAGGATTAAAAACAGGTTCGAAATGGAAAATATCTAGACAATTATGGAGACACCTCTGATAATTCCAAGAGGTACCCGAGTAGAGGTAATTATTATTGAATTCTATCTAATCATATTTTACGTTTAATTTGATGTTTTTTTCTCTTAGTAATTGCTATATCTCCTTTCCCTAAGATGATGAGTTCACTAAAAATGTAGAAATAATAAACATTTTCAACATTTATAAGGTAAAATGTAGCTACCTTTGTGTATTCGAACGTTTGATTTTGTTCATTATCTCAGATATAATTAGTATCTTTGTGGAGTCTGTCTTCCCGGATTTGTGTACACGATAGTTGTATGTGATATCACAGTTGTTCTTCACTTGTTTTGTTCGTGTGTGAGCAAATAAATAAATACACAAGACACACGGGACCAAGTCCAAACTATGGACGTTGGCCATTAATCTGGAAGGGAGATTGATGTCGAGTCCATCATGTCTTCTGAATGTGTCTTCAGGACATTTTCAGCATGAAGGGCTTGTTATCCATTTCGGATAATCTGCATTCACTTGACTATATATACCGTTGTAATGGTCATTTTCACCTATTAGTTCTGATATTCATTTGGTCTTCAGGAATCAGTTGTGATCTTCGTATCCACCTTCTTTAGACATCAACAAGAATTCAAATCCTTCGTTTCCCTCCCCCACAAAGCAATAGCTATTTATCAATATTTTATAAACTATGATCATAATTGATGGATTGATTTTTTAGTTTTAGTAAATTTGGTTACACAAAATTTTGAGTTTCTCGATGATACATAGCTCTTCATTTGTACATCTTGTGGTGTTACGTATGGTAATTATTCTAGATGACGTTTGCATTACTCAATAATGTTTTCCGCTTTAGCTTTTTCACCATCCTTTTTTTTTCGGCTCACATAGATATAATTATATCTATAATTCCCAAATTCCTCGATAACTTCCTCGATAAATAAATTCCTTGTAGTTTTCTCTCAGCATTAGAGTGTACTTTTCAAGTCTCTTAGAGTCATCATTACTATTGATGGAATAGTTGGTTATCAATAAATACGTTTTCGTCAAAGTCCAGTTGCTGTATTGCTATATATTTTGCTTTCATCGTCTTTTTCATCTCGGTCTTCAATTAAGGCTTTTTATCTTCAATTTTAACTTGGCAAAGGGATTGATTGCTTATGGGCGTTTCTAGAAGTTTGTTAATCCAAATGTTGCTTGGGGAGCAGATAGAGATTTGTAGATGGAGGTTCTTGACGAGAATATTAATCTCTGGCAGCAGACTGCAGCAACTCCAGATGTATTGTTTGTAGGTGGATCTGCAAATCTTTGTGAGTAAGGAAATCCTATTCAACACAACTTATGTACATATGAATGACCAAATTATGTCTAACATGTTGATTATTATAGATTTGTTGCTAGGGGACTAAAGTAAAATCTTTTTTAAAAAATATTTTTTAAAATACTATTTTAACTTAACCATTACTATATATAAGGTTGTACCAAAAGTTCGTAAACACCTGCAAACGTTGTTTTTATTTTTACTTGTCGAATAATATTATTACGGCGAATACATAATAATACACATAATACAATTAATTAATACATAATACAAAGACATTATACATAACGGCGAATAGTATTATGGAGAATAAATAATATGGAATTTCATTTTTTTTTTGCAAGTGTTTACGAACGTTGGGACAACCTTGTATTTTATATCAATTACCATACGAATGACCCGGGAAACGCTCGGGTTTTGCCCGAGTGTATTTCTAACCGAATATAATTAGAATAAAAATATATATTTAAAACTAAATCTCCCAATTAAATTAGTTCCAGAATATATTGATCCTCCCCAGTTCGACCTTCGGAGTTGACCGAATTACTATTCTAATCATGTCATGTATATTTCGATAGTCAAAATATAAATATGATTTATTTATTTATTTGCTTGGCCAATCTTTTGTGTTTAAAGTATTTTATAAATTATTTTAATTATATAAATGTTTTAAACCGATCTGTGAACAAAATGTAGTTAGCCGCAGCTCTTTGATAATAAACGTTCTTTTCTAGAGAGTAAACGCTTTAAAAGTTTTGAAGCTATGGAGAGTTGAGTCATTTTGTTTCAATTGACACTTTTAGATTTTCTAATGATTCACAACTTGCTGATAGAAGAATTTCTTTCATGGATGTCCACGACTATCAGCCTTTCTTGGTCCCAAAAGACAAGAGATCATGAGTTTGTCCTTGGAAAGGGAAAAGGCTATGGTTTCTTTTTTACTGGTGATGTTTTATGCGTGCATTGTATTGATTGACACTTTGAAGACGGATCATAATGATAAACCCAAGTCTCATCCCATGTTAGCACACCTTTTTTTTTCAAACACCTGAGAAGATTCTCTTGAAAAAATCTCCATGAGGTCTAAACAAATTTCTTTACGAAGTTGTATCATTTATTGCGCTAGAAGTTTTAGCGCTAATTTTGAGCATAATTTACAATATCAAAGATCATTAATAAGTTCAATAACACTTATTTTGACAGGTAAAGTTTTTATATTATGTGATAAGTCGTCATTGTCAGGTTATTCTTGATCAATTC